CAAAAATTTCAAAGTGCAAGAAGGCAAGAAACAAAGAGTGTCAAGGCAAGAGATAAGGGATGTAGAGAAAGTGAGACAGAGCGAAAACAAAATGAGAAGTACAGGTGAATCCAAACGCTTCCGGGGAAAGATAAAAACCGTGGGAGTGGATTAAAAAGAAATCTAGCCATGTCCCCTTGAGGGACCCATCTAAGTATGAAGACAAAGAAACAGGTGGAGTAAAAGTATGGGAAAGATTTGCTGGGCAAACACTAACGAAAGAGCTAGTATAGATCAGGCAATACAGGTTTTAAGGCATAAAGCATTACTGCATAAAGAAGTTCACTACACATGGATAAAAATGAAAACACATGGAAGATATAACAGTTCTATAATTTATTTCTTTTTTTTAAAGTTGTTTTTTTTTTTTTTAGTTTATTTATTTATTTTGAGAGAGAATCCGAAGCAGCACAGAGCTTGACGTGGGGCTTGAACTCAGCAACATGAGATCAAGGTCAGAGCCAAAACCAACAGTCGGATGCTTAACCAACCAAGCCACCCAGACGCCTAAATTTAATTTCTTAAAGTAATCTCTATGCCTAACATGGGGCTCAAACTCATGTCCCCAAGATCAAGAGTCACACGCTCTACTGACTAAGGCAGGCAGGCACTCCTAAAATTTATTTTTTCATAAAATAATTTCACCACAGAAGAAAAAAATGAAGAGTAAATGACAAATCTTCCACTGTTATGGTCACTGTAGTTAACTTAGGGATCACTGGCCTCTGCCTAAATGGCTTTGAGTCCCTTTTACATATGCACACAGTTAATATTCCCATCAATCTTGTTCTTCTGTGTTCCCGTTTTACAGACAAGAAAAGCAAGGCACAATGAAGTAACACATCTCCCTCAAGAAATGATACAACAAACGGCAAAAAAATCCTTCATGATGGGAAGGTTTGCAGATCATCAGCAAGTCGGATCTAGTGAAAACAGGTAGAGATGGAGAGTACACATTCTTTTTAATTACTTATAGAACACTGATAAAATCTGACCATGTGCTGGGGCATAAAACCAATCTTAACAAACACCAAAGACTCAAACTTGGACTTCCCAGAACGATGATGCAATTAAATTATAGAAATCAATATCAAAGATATTGAAGTTCTCGAAGATAGGTTTAACTATGTCATACAGGTGGAAATTTTAAAATAGGCTCCCACATAAATCAATCATAGGAGAGCTTCAATAAGAGTAAAGGAAATGAAAAGTATATGGAAATGAACAGTAACAGTGATACTCCATACAAAAATCTGTGGGTTACAGATAAAGTCATATGTAAATGGGAAATGTGTTACTTAAATGCCATATTAGAAAAGATGCAGGGGCACCTGGCTGGTTCAGGTGGTTAAGCATCTGATTTCCACTCAGGTCATGATCTCGTGGTTCGTGGGTTCGAGCCCCGCATCAGACTGTGTGCTGACAGCTTGGAGTCTGGAGTCTGCTTCAGATTCTGTCTCCCTCTCTCTCTGCCCCTCCCCTGCTCACACTCTGTCTCTCTCTCCCTCTCAAAAAATAAATGCTAAAAAAATTGTTAAGCCAATAAATTTGAAACTTCAGGATGAAGTGGATATATGTCTAGAAACCTGCACAACCTGCCCGAACCGACCAAAGAGGAAGCAGACGATGAAGGAATTGACTCTGTAGTTAGACACTTCCCACAGTGAAGTATTACAAAACATTCAAGAAACATTAATTTCAACTTACATGGATTATTTCAGAAAACAGAAAAAAAAAGAACAGCAACACTCTCATAAAGCAAATGAGTCGGACAAGAAAGGAAAAATATAGATCCATTTCAATGGAAATAGATGCAAAATTCTTAAGTAAAATATTTACAAAACCAGTGCAGCTAAATGTATTAAAAAAAACAAAAACAAAAACATCATCATCTAGTTGAATTTGTCATAGGAATGCTAATTTGGTCCAATATAAGAAAACCGACTCACGTAATCTATCACATGGATGGATTAAAGGAAGCAGAAAAAGTATCTGATGATATTCAACATGAAGTCAAGTTGAAAAACCTTCGTGGTAAAATAGGAAAAGAAGGGAATCCCTTAGCCTGATAAAGTGTATATTAAAATCATGCTTAATGGAGAAATATTTGAAGTACTCTCTTCACACTCAAGAATTGAGATAAGGAAGTCCACAGTAATTGCTTCTACAGCATAATGGTGGTCATGACCAACAGAGCAAGATAAGAAAAATAAATATAAGGCATAAGGGTTGGAGAAGAAAGAAAAATGTCATTATTTGCTGATTCTAGGACACACACACACACACACACACACACTCATACACTCACACATCCAAAGTAGAAGTAAAAAGAGAATTTAGCAACGGATCTGGCTCTAACATTAATATAATTAATATATATCAGATCTCTTTCCTCCATGTGAACTAAGAACATAATACCAAATGAAAAAAAAAATCAACTAGGAAGGAAATAAATGAAATCATGATTTTGTTTATAGAACGGTGAAAAAGAAGCAAAATTATAAATATAATTTGTAACTCTTTGAAGCTTATGTACAACTGTGGTAAATAAAGCTGGGACAAATAGCAAGGAGGTGATGAACACCAAATGAAAGATAAAGTGCACCTCCAGGGTGGGGATCAGGGGCATGACGTTAGGGACAGACTTCAAAGGCATCAATAAGGTTTTATTTCTTAAGCTAGCTTGTAGATTAGACGTGTTCTTTGGGGCGCCTGGGTGACTCAGTTGGTTAGGCCTCTGACTTCGGCACAGATCACGATCTCACGATCTGTGAGTTTGAGCCCCGCGTCCGGCTCCGTGCTAACACCTCGGAGCCTGGAGCCTCCCTCGTTCTCTGCCCGTCCTCTACTCGAGCTCTGTCTGTCTCTCTTGCAAAAATAAATATTAAAAAAAAAAAAAGAAGTGTCCTTCGGTTCTTACTCTGTACATTGGACATATAATATATATATATACATATATATATTTTTAAAGAAAAGTCTCTGAAAGATAAAATACCTTTTATTAGCAAGAGTTGGATGTTTTAATGTCTTCTATCCTTTAGCTGTTTGTAGTTTCAGGTTTTGGGGGTTTTTTTGAAAAAAATTTTTAAATGTTTTATTTATTTCTGAGAGAGAGAGAGAAACAGCGTGAGCAGGGGAGGGTCAGAGAGAGAGGGAGATACAAAATCTGAAGAAGGCTCCAGGCTCTGAGCTAGCTGTTAACACAGAGCCTGACACGGGGCTCGAACTCACGAACCGCGACATCATGACCTGAGCCAAAGTTGGTCGCTTAACTGACTGAGCCACCCAGGCGCCCCTCAGGTATTTTTTTAAAGTTTATTCATTTATTTTGAGAAAGAGAGCATGAGCAGGGGAGGTGCAGAGAGAGAGGATCCCAAGGATCCTGAGGATTGAGGGACTTGAACCCGCAAACTGTGAGACCACGACCTGAGCCGAAATCAAGAGTCGGATGCTTAACCGACTGAGCCACCCAGGTGCCCCTCAAGTATTTTTGTAATCAGCAAGCACAGCTTTTATACTGAGAAAAGGCCATAAAAGTAATTTCTTTTTTATTAAAATTTTTAACGTTTTTTAATTTTATTTTTGAGAGACAGAGTGCGAGCAGGGAGAGGGGCAGAGAGAGAGAGAAGGAGACACAGAATTGGAAGCAGGTTCCAGGCTCTGAGCTGTCAGCACAGAGCCGGATGCAGGACTCGAACCCATACCCACGAGATCATGACCTGAGCTGAAGTCAGATGCTTAACAGACTGAGCCACCCAGGCGCCCCATAAAAGTAATTTCTTTTAAGAAAATCTTTAAATAACTAAAAATCACTCTGATTTTACATTTAGGATCACAAAGTATTTGATAAAGAACGCATATCTTTTCTAGGTATGTTACCCACAAACCGACATACCTCATTTAGCCCCAAACGATTTTTTGATAAACTTGGGACTGATCTATTTTAACTGAGTCCCATTTTAAATAGTTTGGGGAGCTGGCTATTTAAATAGGAATTTACAACAAATCTACGGTAATTTACGATTACTTTATCAACACATGAATATCCTTCTGTAAAGTCTTCACACTCAAGCTCGAATGCAGACATTGAGGAGATGTGTTTTAATGTATCAGATCATTTTCAAGGAAGGCATACTAATAAATACCTAGGCTTTCAGCAAGGATTTTGGCAGACATAGACCAATAACTAAATCATCCACACGATTTTCCAACTGAGCTCATCCCCCCCGAATCTGGCACAAGTGAAAGAAATCTATGAAAATGCCCAGCTTCTCCCCACTTAGAGCGGCGGGCTATGGATGCCAGAACAGCCCTGGGCGGTCATGGGATGAATATGGCCATTTAACAGCCTAATGTTGTTTACACTGTATTGACGACTCTTAGAAAAAAAAACAACTCAGCTTCTAGGGAAAAACGGGCGTCAAGAACCACAAGAAGTACAGTGCGAGCTTTATCACCTTCCTAATTGCGACACAAGTCCTTTCGGGGAGGCTAGCCCTCAACTACCACCTGTTAACAACCTGATCAACTGGAAATGGGGCCAGCCTGCGAGTCCCTTTATCTCCCTCACGGAAGCATTAGAATTAGGGCAGCCGAGCCCTTCCAGATGGGGCTGGAACTGTCTGCTCTGGCTTTTAAAGGGGGAGACTTTTTCTTTGAAAAGCCATTAAGGGAAAAGCCACAACCTCCGGAAACCCCTCCCCCTCCCCCCACCGCGAGCCACCTCCCAGGCTTAAGTCTTCACGTTGCCATCCTGGGGACAAACACAAATCAACAAAGCGCCCCAACTGTAACACCAGAGACACCCCAAAAGTCAGGGCTTCCGGGCCCCATGACGGGTGACACAAAATGGAAAGGGCTGACTGATCCCAGGGTGGGGGGGGGCCTTTTTGGGGGTGCCGTGGGAAAAGGAGAGCTTGGCAGAGAAGGGGAGTGAGACACCGAGCTCACTTTTACCTCACCTTCTCAACGTCGGCTTTGGTGACATTGATGTCGGCGTCCATCTTCTCAAAGTACTGCTGCGCCCTGTCCGCCTCTTTGCAGTCCCGCTCAAATCGCCTTTTACTCTGAAAGCAGGGGTGAGGGGTGGCAGGAGAGCAGGTGTTAATAAAACCACGAGCTTTCTCCGCCAAGGTATCATTTTCTCTCCATCCCCCCAAGAGCTTTCTCCTCTGATTTGTGACGCGGCCCGATTTCAAGAAGTCAGTCGAACAGCTGCACCCAAACCGTCTAAGCTTTGTTCTCTCCATGTGATTTTTTTTTTTTAGAAAAACACTCCATTGAGCTCTTTGGGCTCCACGTGTTAGTCTCCCTAATGGTGACTAGAAACATTCGAATTGGAAGGGTCCCTGAAGGCCTTTCTTTGGCTTTTGTTTTGCACTTACTGATCCCTCCGAGCTCGCATTCAAATTAGAAAACCTCAGCGCATTTCTTGAGCTATTCACCCTCCACTTACTGATTCGAGTTGTTTCCAGCAGATCTCTATGTGCTGCTGTGCCTTCCGCCCATCATGAAAGTACTGGAAACAGAAAACACACAGTGATTAGCACCCCTTCTTTCTCAGTCACACGTGAGAAGAAAATCCATCAGCGTAAATTACATTTCACTTTTTTTAAGGAGGCTCCACGCAGTACGGGGGTCTTGAACTCACAACCCTGAGATCAAGCATCGCGCGTTCTACCGACTCAGCCAGCCAGGTGCCCGTACATCATATTTCTGAATATCTAGCACATGCGCTCCGAAGAAAGTTAAGAGTTAAAAAATAAAGGGGAAATGAAAACAGTCACAGAGTTCCCTTTCAAACTTCAGGTAGCATAACACTGAGTTTAAGACTTACACACAACACTTGTAAAAATGTCAGGAATGGGGGCGCCTGGGTGGCTCAGTTGGTTAAGCGCCTGACTTCGGCTCAGGTCATGATCGTGCGGTTCGTGGGTTCGAGTCCCGCGTCGGGCTCTGTGCTGACAGCTCAGAGTCTAGAGCCTGCTTTGGATTCTGTGTCTCCCTCTCTCTCTGACCCTCCCCTGCTCGTACTCTATCTCTCGAAAATAAATAAACATAAAAACATTTTTTTTAAAAAAATGGCAGGAATGTTCGTTAAGGGAGCAACGACGGAGGTCCTTAGTTCTCACTGCTTTGAGAAGTAATTCACACAGCGCACGATTCGCCCATTTGAGTTGTACAATCCACTGCTCTTTGGTTATAGTCACAGAACTGTGCAACTATCAGCACAGCCTAAGAACATTTTATCGTGCTGAAAGGAGAGCCTGCACCTCTAAGCTGTCACCCCCACCCCCTCCCAACTCCACCCCAACCACTCAGCTCCGGGAAATTGCTACTCCACCTTATGCACCTCTATAAATCTGCCTGTTCTCGATGATTTCCTATGAATGGAATCATACACTATGAGGTCTTTTGTGACGGGCCCAATGGCTTCCATTAGTACATAATGTTCACTTAGCAGAATGTCTTCAAGATTTTTCCATGTTGCCACATGGCTCGGTCTTTTTTTATCTCTTTACTGCCAAGTGGCATTCCGTTGTATGGGGACACACACATTTTGTGTCTCCATTCATGGTGGATGAACATTGGGGTTTTCCCAGTTTGGGGCTATTATGAATAACGCCCCTGCAATTATCTGTGTAGATGAGTGTTTCTGTTACTTAGACCTTTTTAGATTTAAAAATAAGTTCAGCCCCCTGCTATCTGCAAAGGCCCTGTGGCAGGTATGTGCCTTGTGCTGACGAGTAAGGACCCCAGAGGGCTAGACCAGAGAAGCCCCAGGCATATTAGGAAATGAGGTCAGAGAAGAAAGGGCCAGACTGTGTAGAGTCCTCTAGACTTTTGGTCTGAATGAGCTGCGGAATCATGGGTCATATAGAGGTGCCATGTTGTGAAGGAAGGTTCCAAGTACGAGTCTCTCCAACCCGGGAGACAAGACACTTGGACCACAGGGTAGCAGGGTAAGTGGTGAGCAGGGGTCAGACTCTAGGTGTCCAGCAACCCCCAGGATCAGATGTGAGTGGAGACTCCAATGTTGCTGGTCTGAGCTTTAAAAGGAGAGGAGGAGGGGCGCCCGGGGGGCTCAGTCAGTTAAGCGTCTGAGTTCGGCTCAGGTCATGATCTCACGGTTCGTGGGTTCGAGCCCCACGTAGGGCTCCGTGCTGACAGCTCAGAGCCTGGAGCCTGCTTCGGATTCTGTGTGTGTCTCTCTCTCTGCCCCTCCCCTGGTCACGCTGTCTCTCTCTCTCAAAAATAAATAAACATTAAAAACATTTTTTTAATTAAAAGGAGGGGGGCAAATGAGAGAGGCAGGTCTGCCGCGAATCAGACACAGTTTTAGCTTTGTTAGGCTGACATTCTAAAAGGCCCCCAAGTGGAGAGTCTACCGGGTAGCTGGATGGCTGAGGGTGAGCTCAGGGGACGGCCAATGCTAAAAAGATCGGTGTGGACCTCCCCGGCATCACGTGGGTGGTTAGAGCCTGGACTAATCTCCAAAAGAGATGAGATCCCAAGGGAAGACCAGAAATACACAGAAATGTTAAGAAACCGATGGCCTTTTTGCCCAGCGGCCCAAGATCACCGGTGTTTCCTAAATTCTGTCATCTCCTTCAACTGTGACGTCACTGACTTTGTCAACGTGGTGGGAATTTCTCAGATCTGTCCTCTGTGTCCCCAGAGGCTGACCTGGGCACATGGACCGCAACGCGGACTCCCTTGCCCTCCGGTTCGGTCAGATTCATCACAGAGGCTCTGGCCCATCAGAGGGCGGGGGATTTAGGTACATCTGCAGGTCCTCTCGCTGCGAAACTCTGGGCTGTCTGGGTCCTCTACCGAGGCCACAGCTCTGGTCAGGAACCCGTGCCCTGTGGGCCGGAGGGGACCACAGCAGCTTCCCACCCTGGCTGGCCCGGGGTTCTGCACTAGATCTTAATTGCTTTTCCTGAACCTTCTCCACAGCAAGGTAAATGCTCCTTTTACTAAAGGACTTTCCTTGAATGTGCCGTGTGTTCTGACAGACTAGGTGGGGAATGTTGTGGCCAGAAGGCAAGTTGAAAGCAGACTGATGGTGGAGGCTCCCCGCCCCCCAGCACAGCCTCGGACCTTCTTATCTCCCCTGGTCAGAGCCTAGGGCTAGGCTGAGTCACAAAGAAGGACTGAGGCCCCGGAGGACAGGAAGGAGGAGACAAAATCAGATTTTGTGTGTGTGTGTTTTTTTTTTTTTTTGAAGAACAGTGCTCTTTTATAAAAGGGACTGTTTCCTGGTCTCTCTTTTGAGGCCACGCTTTGCTGTTTTAAGCTCCTTTTTTACTGCCACTTTTCTCCATCAGGCAATTTAGGAATCCAAGAATCTCCAGTTTCCTAACAGACACAGGGATAAAACCGAACCGGGATGGGGTCCGAGGGTGAGAATGCACAAGCGGACCGGACCGGGGCAGTGGGAGTGAGACGCAGCGCTGAGGGCAGGGCCGCGGGAGAAACTTGAACTTCAGAGGAAGGGCAACTGCAGGCGGCTTTCCTGAAGACCACAGATGTCACTTTAACACGGGACACAGGGCAGACTTAGGGGAGGGTCCCCATTTCACAAGCACGTTCACCGATCACTTTCACTTTGAGATTCAAAAACAGACACAAAGAGGGGAGTGGAGGGGAGCGGCGGGGGGGGGGGGGGGGGGGGGGGGGGGGGGGGGGGGGGGGGGGGGGGGGGGGGGGGGCGGGGGGGGGGGACACCTCAGCACCAGGCTCAGGGCCGGGGTCTGGGTTCAGGCTCTTGAAATGAACATTTTGCACAAAACCCAAGGCGGGTCCCAGGCGGAGAGAGGAAACGCACACTCAAGAACACGCAGAAAGTGACAGGCATTGCCAGGAAGGGTTGACTCGGCTCCAGCATCAAAGGAGTCCTCTCAGAAGACGACAGTCCTCCCTCCCCGCCATGCCAAAAAAAAAAAAAAAAAAGTCATATTCTGGGAGCACAAGAGCTGATTTTGATTGAAAACGCACACCGTGAATTCTCTGACCACCCCTCCATTTAATATTTAGTAATAAATATGAATTGATTCCAGGGGTGCCTGGGTGGCTGAGCTGGTGGGGCATCCTCCGACTCTCGATTTCGGCTCAGGTTGTGATCTCACGGTTGTGAGTTCAAGCCCCCCAGTGGGCTTTGCACTGAAAGTGAGGAGCCTGCTTGGGATTCTCTCTCTCCCTCTCTGTCCTTCCCAACTCTCTTTCTCAAAATAAATAAATAAACTTAAAAAAATTTAATATGAATTTATTTTTCAAGCACGGTGTGGACTCTGACTTGACTGGCAAGCTTTCTCCCACAAAGGTCTCCTCAGCCATAGTTCTGTCAGACTAAAACAGTCACCTGGGCGGCTCAGCCGGTTAAGTGTCCGACTTTGCCTCAGGCCATGATCTCATGGTTCTCAGGTTCGAGCCCCGCATCGGGCTCTGTGCTGACAGCTCAGAGCCTGGAGCTGCTTCTGATTCTGTGTCTCCCTCTCTCTCTGCCCCTCCCCTGCTCGCACTCTGCCTCTCTGTTTCAAAAATAAATGAACATTAAAAAAAAAACAACAAAAAACCAGGGGCACCTGGGTGGCTCAGTCGGTTGAGCATCCGACTTCAGCTCAGGTCATGATCTCCCTGCTTGTGAGTTCGAGCCTCTCGTCGGGCTCTGTGCTGACAGCTCAGAGCCTGAGCCTGCTTCAGATTCTGTCTCCGTCTCTCCGCCCCTCCCCTGCTTGTGCTCTGTCTCTTTCTCTCTCTCAAATGTAAAATAAAACATAAAAAATTGAAAAACAAAACCAAAAACAATCATCTGAGAACTATTACTTGAGACCCTAACGTTTCCAGTGACCTAAGGAAAAATCGAGGTGTCAAGTGATTTTCCTCCTAATCTTCCTGTCCTGATATGCGTTCCTCCAAAACTCATTGGGCTTCAACACACAAAAAAATTCGTGGTGCTGACCCCTTAGGAAAGCTGGCGGGTGGGACCGGGGCCCTCCTAACCGGCCTGGACATCGTACGGCCACCTAACAGCGGTTCGCCTGCATCCAGCTCTCTCTCCCCTCCTTCAGTCCGAAAGGCCAGTTAACAGTTACAAGGTAAACAAATGGGCTTTGCCAGATGGGTCTGTTGTTTCTGCACAAACAATGGCAAAGCGTTTCTTCGCGGGACAGTGAGCAAGTGTGTGTCTAAAAAGTGTGTCTCGGAGCGCTACAGAGAGAGGAATTGTTCTCTAGAAAAAAAGAATAGGGCTTTTGGAACCACAGGGTGAAGTCATCACCGCGCTCTTCTACCGGCAGAGAGACAGGAAATGCCATCTCTGGACCCAGAGAAGCGCTCCTGACGGTCTCCTACAAGCAGATGCTTCCGTTGCGCTTCAAATGTACTAACAGGCTTTTGAAAATGCCTGATGGTATCGCAGGGGATGGCTAAACTTACTTGCCTTTCCACTTTTTTTTTTTTTTTAATGTTTTATTTATTTCTAGGAGAGAGAGAGAGAGAGACAGCGTGAGCAGG